GCACTCCGGGGTGCCCGTCCCCCAACACCGGCACCACGCTGGCATCACGGGGGCAATAGGGCACTTAGTGCAAGGTGGCAGCCAGAGGAGCGCCTGCTCCCCCAGGGCTCCCCCATGCTCCTGGCTCCTGGGGACCAGGGCTGATGGGACCGGCTCCCCAGCCCCAGGCGTGCTGTGCCGCTGGCCCGAGAGCTGGGTGGGCACTTGGCAAAGAGCGGGTCTGCCCCAGCTGGGGGTCACTCGCCAAAACTGGCTCCGTAAAACTGGGACACTCCCACAGCATGTGGGTGCACGGGGTGCCTGTACCCAGAGAGCGGCTGAGGGCTGTCTGAGAGAGTTGTGGGGCTCCTGGGCATGTGCCTTTCCTTCAGGACCAGTGCCGGGCTCCCAGGCAGTGCCATTTTGGGGGAACTGAGCAACAGCAGACAGTGCATAGCCCCCTTTTTGGGGATGCATTGGCACTGAGCTCAGAGGGTATTTCAGTGCCTTGCTTCTTTCACTGGGGAAAAACTCCCCACAGATCCTGTGAGGAGCAAAGACCCCATCTCGTGTCTCCCTTCTGAGTGCTGGGTAAACTGAGGCACAGAGCAGGCAGGGCTCCGGCTCTTCTCCTGCAGCAAGGGCAGATGCGGAGGCTGGCAGGAAGCCCGGGTGTCCTGCGTCCCCGTCCTGCGTCTCCCTCTGCTTCACCCCTCTGACCGCAGCAGGGCGAGCAACGGAGGCTTGTGACTGCTGTGCGTGCCCAGGTGTCTTACCCGCCCGCTCAGGGAAATTTCCATGGGCGACCGAGGCAGGGAGTGCTGTCAGGCAGCTCCGAGGACAGCCAGAGCTTCCAGCCTCATGGAGGGGGCTGGAGGCAACAAGCAGAGGCTGCTTTCCTCCCATGCCAGCCCCCACCAGCACACCCCCAGCCAGAGCCAGTGGCTGCTGTTTAAATCCTAATTGCTGCAGATGCAGCCTCCCCTGTCTGCGGCGTGAGCTCGGCACAGCCAGCGGAGGGGCTGACGGGGGGGGGGGGGAGGGAGGGAGGTGGTTTTTGG